TAGGCCATGAAGGCGTATAGGGGGGTGGATGCACAGATCCACATTTTCTTGACATCAGCACTAGTTGGAGGTGGGTAGTCAGCTTCACGCCCCTGCCACTTTACCCCCCCGGGATACGCATCGGATAGGAGGCTGGGTGGACCCCAGAGTCTGTCTGGACGATGTGGAGATGAGAAAATTCTTGACTCTACAGGGACTCCAACTATGAACCCTCGGTCGTCCAGCTCGTAGCCAGTAGCTATACCGACTATGCTATCCTGGCTGCGTTCCTGTCGCATTACATCCAGGAAAACAGGCCACGGTACCCACTGTATATGAGGCCGTGTGCAAGGATCGGACGCACTAGGAAGCTAAGCTCACTTCACGACTGAGGCCTCTAGAGAACACCCTGTATAACGGCTGGGACATGAAGGGCGCTACTGTAATTACCGGACTTAATCACTCTCGCGGAGGTCACACAAGATGGTGTGATAGCAGGTATCACGAGGCTGCAGAGGAAGGTCGTTATATAAAACGATCCTACGTGGCCGTTCATGCAAAATACACAATTTTGTTATGATGTCTGAGATGACCATCTAGGAATTAACTACCAATTGTTCTGGTGAGAGAAAGCTCTGGAAGCGAATGATTGACGTCACAACTGAGTATGGAGGACCGGACATCGCTGTCACGTGATTCCAGATTCGAATCTCGTTCTGGAAATCGCCTCGTTTCGTGTACCTTGGTTCTTCTAAGCAACTTCTGGAGTGTTATATTGTGTCTAAGCAGATCACAGTGGCCTCGCGGTCTAAGGCATGAATTGTCTTCGCTCGCTCGAATACTGGGATCGTGGGTTCGAATCCCACTCAAGGCGTGGATGTATGTGTACGTTTATTCTATGCTTCTGTTATTCTGTGTATAGGTGGCGGCCTTGCGACGGGCTGCTACCCCGTTCACGGAGGCCCACCGTCTGTGTATATGATTAAGAAATTTAAAAAGCCGCCACGGTCCAACAAAAGGACTACAGAGACATAGATTGGTAGATATTGTGTCTAAAACATCATTGGGAATTTACTAGATTCCATTTTCAACGTCCGATGAGAATCTAACTAGCCCAGACTTTTTATTTTGTTAGGTTGCCTCCTCATGTCGTGCATTCAAAGATGTTTCAAACAAAATATACCCCAGAGTAGGCCATCACTGCCTCCTTGTAGACCCTTTCTAGTCCCACTTCTGACACCAGTTGTCACGTGACAGGAGTGACTATAGAAGGGGTTTGATCGGTAATCGGATTTATTGAACTCTTACAACTCGCAACTACAAGCAAGGACTATGCTCTCACTGTTCTGCATACTTCATAACCCACTACAGGGCACACTAGGTCTTCTCAGTCTGTTACAGTCTTCATTAGCCGTTGTTTGGTAGCGGCCTCCAACGGCGGACGTTCCCCTTCCTCTGGGTTTCACCGGACACAGCTACCAGCAACAGCTCACAAAGACTCAACCCCAGCGGTTATCTAACTCATTCGATGGGATGCCCAGACACAGCAGAGTGACTTCATAAGCGGCAAAGAGAAGAAGTCCCTGGCAAGGGCATGAACACAGGGCCTAAAGGCCTGTCTTAAACAAATCATGGGAATCCTACGGAGACGTCACGTGCCAGCCGACTGGGCGTCATACTCAGCGACGTGAGAGGCTCAAATCTCTCACGATTTCACTGTTAAGGTGAAGGTCAAGTTCTCCCTGTGCTTAATTAATTAAACACTATGCCATAAAGACGTGTGGGGGAGTGGAGATATGACTCCATCATTCTTGAACTCAGCACTAGATGGAGCCCCCCGCTTTACCCTCGGGGAAAGAGATCCCAGTAACCGTTGGATAGGAGACTGGGTGGGCCTCAGAGCCGGTCCAGATGCTGTGGAAAAGAGAAAATATCTTGCCCCTGCCGGGAATCGAACCCGGGCCGTCCAGTCCGTAGACCATCGGTATACCGGCTCCCATGATTTCAATGTTTCAACAGCCACACTCCTTGCGCGGCACGACGACTGGGATTGTGAAGATAAAGCCGGCCCTGTGTGGCAGCACCAAGCCACGAAGTGGCACGGCTAGCATAAAAGTAAATAGTCAATCAGTGAGGGCCTGGGAATTTGCTGGAGGCTCCGGCCGCGGTATACTGAGAAGGGGAGCCCCCAGTACCCTTCGGAGAAAGGCAGAGTGGACCAAAGACGATGTAAAAATAAAGCTATTGTTGATCCTGTGCTTAATTAAGCAACATGATATGAAAATGGGTAGGGGAGTAGAGGCATAACTCCATGCATTTTTCCTCTCAGCACTACACTGAGGAGAGTAGCCAGTTTCACGAACCGGGCCCTTTACTCTCTCGGTGCTCGCTGGATAGGAGGCTGGGAGCGCCCAATAACCTGTCTGGACACTGTAGAGAAGAGTGATATCTCTTTCCTCAGACCGGCAGTCGAGCACCTATACCTCGTACATGCAACCCGTAGCCCGTCGCTACACGACTGAGCTATTCCGGGAAAGGTAGCGAAGAGAAATGCCCTTCTACAGAAAATAGAACCTTTCCCGTCCAAGTTGTGGAGTCGGCATAGCAACGGTCTGGAAGGCCGGGGTTCTATTCCTGGCAGGTCACGATTTTATCTCTTCTCCACAGTGTCCAGACTGGCTCTGGAGCCCACCCAGGCTCCTATCCAATGGGTATCGAGGCCTTTTCCCCGGCGGTAAAGCGGCCAGGGCGTCAAGTCAATCACTCACCTCCGTCTAGTGCCGAGGTCAAGAATGACGGAGCTATATCGCCACTCCCCCACGCGTTTTCATTGCGTGGTGCTTAATTAATTAAGCACAGGGACAATTTTACACGTACTGAGTTCTCGTGGCCAAGGGCTAAGAAGAAGTCCATTACATAAAGTTTAACATTCGGGATATAAATATTTTGTGTAAATTAGCCATCACTCCAGTACCTAGGTTCCGCGGAAATCATAAGGCAACACACAACTTCCCTTAAAACTTTCAACGCCAAGCGTCGCCAAAGAAGTACCCTATATACACGTAAATTCAAAGGCTGCTTTGGGGCTAATGCATTTGCACGAAGAAACCCACAGTATCTCCTTCTAGTGACCTTCAAACAACAGCAGGTATAGCTGATTCGAAAGTCTATTCTTTCATCTAAATATCTGATACCATCTATTGACACTTGATTAGCAACGAGGCCATCTCTTCGGCTAGGCAAACTTTGACGCAAGTACCCCGAGCCATTTATGGCGCTCAAAGGGTTACACATCTGGACACGAGATCAACTAACGTTATCTTTTTATACAATTTACGCCTTTCGTACCCATTTCTGAATACGATACACTATATTACTCGATAAGCCCATAACTTATAATACATACAATCAGAAAAACAGATCCCTTCCTGTGGAATGAAGTTTCCTTGCTTTATTCTAAGTTTCAGATCCTTTTTTAGCTTATATACGTCCAGAGAGAGATCAAACTACACAAAAGAGCCCGAAGGTCGCGGGTTCGAGTCCCGACGGGGTGGATTTTTTCAATCTACCTAATCCTTCCAGCCGCACTTTGGCCCTGGGGTCGACTCAGCCTCTAACAGAAATGAGATCCAGGAATCTTCCTGGGGGTAAAGGGCGGCATGCCGGCTTGTAAGGCTGACAATCTCACTGGCAATTGTGAGCCGACTGTCTAGAAAATGTGGGAGCCTCGACGTCGTTATTCCTCTTCTATTCCGTATACTCTAGGGCTTTTTAAGTAATTTTGTGGTTGACCCTCTCCTCTTCCTAGCGGCTTCCATGTCCTTGAGCTGCACCCGTACCCCACACCAAGAAACGTCTCTACACCTCCCTCACCCACTCGCTCACTCATGGAACTGAGCCCTTCTTGAGAAGCTGACAGTCTCGCAGCTACTCAACAACTTCCCAGGATTTTATGGAACCAAAAAGTTCATGGAACCAAAAAGTTCATAACCATGTTCAAAAGAGCCCTCTACTGGTCCCTATCCTGAGCCATATCAATCAAATCCGTACCATCCCATCTCTCTAAGATCCACTTTAATATTGTCCACCCGCCTACGTCTTGGTCTTCCCAGTGGGCTCCTTCCTTCCGGCTTCCCCACCAATATCCCATATGCATTCAGCTTCGATCCCATTCGTGCTACATGCCCTGTCCATCTCATCCTCCTTGACTTGATGATTCAAATTATATCGGCTACAATTAATTATCACAATGTTACGGGTATCCACACTTTACAAACCCTACAACAAAATCTCTTAACACTATCTTCAAGAGTCTTCACGTATTAATAACGCGGGAGCTATACAAGTCTCCCTGAATTACACACTCCAGATATAACTGGTTATCGCACACGCGTCTGTAGCTCGTAACTTGCGAACTGAGAACTCCTTGATAACACACTGACTCTCGCTTGCTGCTCAGCCGGCTTTTATTCCGTTCGCTGTTGCTAGTGTGACGTGGCGTATAGCCTAGCAACGCTGTTACCCCTTGGTGACGTCACCGCTGTTGACTCGCTTTGCATAGCTTCAAGGTTGCGGGGACTCGGCTAACTTCGGCTCCGCTCGTGACGTCACCGCGGGAAGAGTTGCGGGGTGATGACTCGCTTATTACGCGAGCGCTACGTTACCGCTACGTGCCGTTGGGGAGGTAGGGGTCAACACGTCACACTTGGAAAAGAGTACAATTTATGAAGCTCCTCATTATGCAGTTTTCTCCAACCTCCTGTCACTTCATCTCTCTTCGGTCCAAATATTCTCTCAGCACCCTGTTCTCAAACACCTTCAGTCCATGTTCCTCCCTTAATGTCAGAGATCAAGTTTCACACCCATACAGAACAACAGGAAAAATTATAGTTTTGTATATTCTAATGTTTATGTTTTTAAACTCGTCTCTACACCAATGACGTAAAATTTGTATAGCAGAATCACAAGAGTGGGCACACATACAATCTCTTCAGCCCCTGTGCTTCTGCTATGTGACTCACCCTGTCTGGACGGCGCCTTCCACCACACACAATACTCCTAGAAGTACAAGGCGAGGAATAACCATTTCGACCAGCCTGAAACAAGTAACACATGTTATGTTAAACTAACGAACAAATTCCAGTAATCTTCAATGCCGCTGCCAGTAACGAGAATGCATTAGCTTGATGACTAGGTGGATTAATCAACTGACAGAATGAGAACTGGCAGGAGAAACCTAGGTACTCGGGGATTATTCGTCCTAGTGCCACCTTGCCCACGTAACCTGACCTGGGATGGAACCCGAACCGTTGTGCCTCACGTACGGCACTGCAATCGCATGAGTAACGCACTTCTTCGCTCTACCAATAAAAGTAAGGTAAAAAGGTATAGCTATCCATGTAAGGTTGTGAGACGTCGAGGCTCCCACATTTTCTAGACAATTGGCTCACACATGGCGGTGAGGTCAGCCTTATGCGCCAAACGGCCGCCCTTTAATTCCAGGAAAATTCCTCGCACTCATTTCTGTTAGACTGAGTAGGTCTCAGGGACAAAGCGCGGCTGGAAGGATTAGGTCAATCGAGAAAATCCAATGACCTCAACGGGAATCGAACCCGCGAAACTTCCAGATTGTAGCATAGTGTCTCAACCAACTACGCTACCGCGTGCCCCGCTCTACTACTAAGATACTTAATTACTGACTGTCCAACACATATCTGAGAGCACATCATACTTTGAGCAGGCAACTACACGGAGGAAAAGTTGTGTGCGTTCAACGAGATATCCGGCATGGCGTGGTTGGTTCCCACCGCATGTTAGAAAAAGAATCTAGTAAATTTTTGACGACGTAATAATTTACGTCAGTACCTCATCATGACGCACATTCAAAGGCATTTCAGAAAAGCGCAAAGGATACTGCCGTGTTTATGGACTGGTATGTTCCCAACGAAACAATCACAGTGGCAGGCCAAGCGGTCTAAGTCAAAAACAGTCTTCGCCCGCTCGAATACTGGGATCGTGGGTGCGAATCCCACTCGAGGCATGGAAGTCTGTGTGCGTCTTTTCTCTTTCTGTTGTTCTGTGTGTAGACAGCGGCCTTGCGACGGGCTGATCCCCCGTCCAAGGAGTCATACCGACTATATATAGGTCAAGAATTGAAAAGGCGGCCGAAGTCCACAAGGGCAGTAGGACCATATATAGACAGGCAGATAGACAGATGTTCCCAACGGAATTATTCTCACTAGATTCGGTCGAATACGCTGTGATAAGTGTTGCAGTGCGTGTACGGGCAAGTCAGAGGCCTTAATTACAGAGCCTCGTCCTCGCTTCCTCCCACAATTCATCTGCAACCACTGCCCCGCTCACTCACTGGCCGGGTACGCTCCCCTGGGTAGAAACAAGGTGCCGCACGAACATAAACAGGAAGAAGAACGCAGTGAGCGGAACGCGATTGGACTGGATGGCATGACGCAACTGCACGTTGCTGCCGGAAGGCACTTCCTTACATTGCCAAGGTTATGATTCGTGTACCTGACGCAGCCATAAAGCTCTTAACAGCCGCCTTTTCAACCTGCTCCCTAACGTTGCGCGGGGGAAGTATGGCAAGAAGTAGCGGGGCAGGGGCAGTGACAGTAACACGCTGTAACTAGAGCTCTTTACTAAGACAGCCTAAAACCTCATCACATGTAGCATTCTGTCACTAACGCCCACATCTACTGAAGTCGGCATAGCGACTGGCTGGATGAGAGCGAAGTCGGGATTCGAGCACCGGTACGGTCAAGAATTTTGTTCTTTCCACAGAGTCCAGACCGGCTCTGGGGCCTACCCAACTTCCTTATCCAGTGGGTACCGGCATCTCTATCCCCGGGGGTAAAGCGGCCGTGGCTTGAAGCTGACCACTCACCTCCAGCTAGTGCCCAGGTCAATAGAATGTGGATCTACACATCCAATCACCAATAGTGCTTAATTAGTTAAACACAGGGACTTCACCTGTTTGCTCCCAGATCTAAAACCAGGGACAGTGATTGGAAGAAAACGTCCCTTAATTCTAGTCCGGGGGTGGCAAAGTATTTCTTTCACTCGGGTGGCTGATGGTCACTATGCTGGGGTCATTATGCCGTGACTGTCGGCCAGGCAATCCCGCCTGGCCTGTATCAGAGATTGTTAAATATCTATAAATTATTATTATTATTATTATTATTATTATTATTAACTACCTAAACTAACCCCTTGGAACCGGAACCTTCCTGAGCAGACAACAGTCGCTCCTCTACTCAAGCATTTCCCAGTATTTCATGGACTATAAAGCGTCATATGGTGGGATGTTTGATGAATAATGAACTGGAAAGGTCTCGGAAGGAAGCTGTCGTAGCCCAATCGGTGTACTATCCTAGCATCTGCTTGAGGAAAAAAACAAATACTGCAACCAGGATAACCCGAGTTTCGCGCGTAATTTGAACTCAGTATCTCCAGAATATCACTAATCTTCTCCCTCTGGATTCAAGTGGCTCAGGATACCAGCCTTTCAAGTAGGACTGTTCCATGAAGTGAGCTACAAGTTTCAACTAGAACCTACTGAAGACCACACTATCCTCAGGGATATACCGCGTGTATTCCGTTCAAAGTACAAAGACGTTTCGGAGGCACATATAGCCATCTTCAGGGTCGAAGAATAAACCGACGAAGAAACAAGCGTGAAAGCAGGTGTCAACCACTTCCACGTTGGTTTCTTGTTCGGTTTATTCTTCGACCCTGAAGATGGAGGCAATATTCTTCCGAAATTTCGGTTTACTTTCAATGGGTTACAACTGGGATGGCACAGTCGGTATATCGACTGGCTAAGGGCTGGACGACCGAGTGGTCGGAGTTCGAGTCCTGATGTGTTCAAGAATTTTCACTTCTCCACGTCGTCCAGACCAGCTCTGGTCAACCCAGCCTATCGCATGGGTACTGTAGGATCTTTCCCGGGGGGTAAAGGGGCCGGGGCATGAAGCTGACCACTCATCTCCAACTAGTGCCGAGGTCAAGAAAACGTCGGTCTATACCACTCCCCCATACGCCTTCATTATGTAGTGTTTAATTAGTTAAGCACAGGGACAACTTTACCTTTTACACGGCATTATATCGCAACCTCGCATCCTGCACAGAGCTCATCCTGTTCCTGCATTAGTCCTGCGGGCTGTCAAGAGTATCTGACCGTGACGGCAGGCGGACTGCTTCACCAAACGTAACGGGGTTCTCAGACTACCGTTATCAATACGTACCATCGCCTATACTCATCATTAACTATAACACAAACTCCTTCCGCGGCCCGGCTGCAGCCTCTACCTTTTCTCTGACGGACAGAGCAGAAACATCGTAACTACGTAAACAAGAAACCGACTGCATGGGGCAAAGGGGCAGAGTTCTTTTCCACAAGCTAATAGTTTTACCAGATATTCAAAGAAATTCCCGGAACTTTATGAAACCAGAAAGTTCACTACCATCTTCACAAGAGCCCGCCACTGGTTCCTATTCTGAACTAAAAGAATTCAGTCCACACCCTGCCACGTGATTCCGCTTTAAGATCCATTTTAATGTTACGCTCTCACCAACACTTACTTCTCAGCGTTAAAACTTTGTGTGTATTTCTCTTGTCGCATGCTCGTGATCTGATTTTTCTTGATTCATCACCCTAGTATCTGAGGTAAAAGTAAAGCTGCCCCTGTGCACTACGCCACGAAGGCGTATGAGGGAGTAGACATATAGATCCACGTTTTCTTGACTTCGGCAGTAGTTGGAGTTGAGTGGCCAGCTTCACGCACTGGTACACATTTTACAGCAGGCTGGGTGGACCCTACAACCGGTCTGGATGATGCTGAGAAAATTCTTACCCTTATCGGGACTCGAACTCCAACTCCTCGGTTGTCCAACCCGTAGCCAGTCGCCACACCGACTGCGCTATCCTGGCTCCCCGGATAGACAGACAGCAAGGTGACAGTACAAGCTTCGTTTTATTTTTCCAAAATGATGAAAGTGAGCTAAAAACCCACACACTTATGTCCTGTGTAGATTTCGAACCCACATTCTCGGTGATGAGCAGTTGGAAATAGTTTAAACCGCCTTCACACTGCAATCGGTTCCCTCCACCTTAGGTCTAAGGGTTTCTCTCCAGTGGCCGGGCAAATTGCGGTCCGTGAAGAAATGGCTTCTGATCGAGAAAGACGAACATTGCGTAGGATTGTGACGAAAAATAAGAAGACTACAGCTGCAAAAGTGACTGCTGAACTGAATGTCACGCTCACAAACCCTGTCAGCACCAAAACAGTACGAAGGGAACTCCACAAGCAGGGTATTTTTGGACGAGCTGCAATTCCAAAGCCACTCATCAGTGATCAAAATGCCACTAAGAGGGAAGTGCGGTGCCGAAGTCATAAAACCTGGACTATGGAGCAATAGAAGACGGTCATTTGGTCGGATGAGTCCACCTTCACACTGTTTCTGACTTCTAGCCGAGTTTACGTCTGGAGAACGCCATCCCAAGCTTACGATCCAGATTGTTTGCTGCCAAGAGTGAAACATGATGGGGGTTCGATCATGGTATGGGCAGCCATATCGTGATATTCTGTCGGACTCATCATTACCCTGCAAGGTCAAGTCACTGCCAACGACTATGTCACCATTTTGGGCGACCAGGTCCATCCCATTGTGCAAACTTTGTTCGCCAATGGTGATGCTGTTTACCAAGACGACAATGCCCGTGTTCACACAGCTCACATCGTCCAGGACTGGTTTTCTGAGAACGAAGATGAAGTGTCACGTCTGCCATGGCCCCCACAATCGCCAGATATCGATATTATTGAGCCTTTGTGGTCTGTTTTGGAGAGCAATCTGCGTGCGCGCTATCCACCTCCATCATCGTTAACAGAACTTACCATGTTTTTCAGGAAGAATAGTATAAGACTCCCTTGCAAATCATACAGGACCTCTATTTATCCATTCCAAGGAGATTGCAAGCAGTTCTGCAAGCCAGAGGTTGTCCTATACCATATTTTTTTTATTGCTAGTGGGGTGGGACTAAGTCCTTTGTACTGCGGTCACTTCTGGCCTATTGTACCAG